CCCTGATTTCATCTCCCCGTACAACGCCAGAGATCTCTTTTCTCTAATTTTAGCAAAAACGTTCTGTCTTTCTATGGCGTTGCACCTTTCCTTTAAAATTTCCCACGTCCTGCCCACACTTCTTCCTTGCGGATCCTGCCAAATATACCCCAACCCTAATTTATCTAATTCCTCTTTTACCCCCTTAGCCCATCCCCCAATTTTCAAGTTCAGTACCTGCCAGTCGTAGCATCTCCTTACTAAATCATCCCTGTCCATTTGCAAAATCCTTAACCAAAATTTTGTGACCAACCCTAAAACCTTGCTCCTCCTGCTGTCTCTCCCCAGTTCCACTTCGGCTACCCCATTTGCTCCGACCCTTGGTATCCCTAGGACCTTCTTACAAAATCTCCCGTGGATTACATCAACTTCTTTCCATCCCTCCTCTAATCCCCATATTTCCGCCCCATACATCATTCTCGATTCACATACCATCTCGTATACATTTTCTAAAATATTTATCCTCATATGTGGCATTCTGGCTAAGCACTTATCTATCGCCACTAAGGCCTGCTTCCCTTTCGCCACTACTTTAGCCTTTTGTTTAGCCCACCCTCCTGTGCTTTCCAGGGTCACACCCAGGTAGCATATTTCCTTCACTGTTTCTATTATTTTGCCATTCATAAACCACCTCTCATCCTTTCTCAATTTCCCTCCCCTCTTGCATACCAACACTTTCGTCTTCTCCAAGTTGCATTTCAAGTTCCATTCCTTGCAGTACTTCGCCACTTGGTTGATTCCCTTCTGCAAGCCGTTCACCGTAAACGACCCAAATGCTAAATCATCCGCAAACAACAACCCCGGAATTGATTCATCCCCTATCACAGGCGCGTGTATGTTTCCTTCCTGGATATAGTCGATAACATCATCAATAAAAATGTTAAACAGATAGGGGCTCAGACTGCACCCTTGCCTAACACCTCTACTTTGTTCAACCAGGTCCGTCACTTCGTTTTCTCCACACTTCACACAAAATTTGGTTCCCTCATACATTCTCTTGATACATTCAACCATTCCTCCACTCACTCCCTTCCGTCTCATTTTAAACCATAAGGCCTTCCTATCAATCGCGTCAAAGGCTTTTTCCAGGTCCACCAAACACCAGTATATACGGCCTCTTTTAACGCTTAGATACCTGTCAATTGCGGTTTTGATAATAAAGATATTATCTGTGGTTCTTTTCCCTTTTACGAATCCCGCTTGGTACCTTGACAGGATCTTATTACCTACTAGCCAGTCTCTCAGCCTACCAGCCAAGGCGCTAGAAAATATCTTGCTTATCACCGTCAGAAGCGAAATGCCTCTGTAACTATTAGGCTCATTCTTCTTACCCTTCCCTTTGTAAATTGGACTGATAACTGCAACTCCCCACTCTGCTGGGAAATCTTTCCCCTTCTTAATTTTATTAAACAAAGTTGTTAAAGTTTCAGTTCCTCCTTCCACGGTGCAAAACATTTTCCACATCTCGACTGGTATCCCATCGACGCCAGTGGCTTTCCCATTTTTCATTTTTGATATACTTTGCCTAATTTCTTCTGCCGTAAAGTCCCTATCCAGTTCCTCTATGTATTGGGAGCCCAGCAATTGCGTTGGGTAAACCAATCGCCCTTCAGCTGCCCTAGCGAACAGATCATGGAAGTGGTTCACCCACGCAGTTGGATTTACCTCATTCCTAAAAACTTTTTTCGCCACTATGTCCCTTATGGACTCCCATACTTTCTTTATCTCTTTATGCCTTACCAAATCGTTTATTCTTTCAGACTCCTTCTCTTGCCAAACCCGCTTCTTTTCCTTCATTATCTCCTCGTACATTTTTCTAGCTTCCCAATACCTTGCTCTACTCGCTTCGTCGTTTCTCGCCTTAAACTCTCTCAAGGCCCATCTGGCTAGTCGTTTGTTTTCCCTGCACTCCTCGTCGAACCAATGACTTCCCCCTCTATGCTTAACCCCTGTCCACCCCATTTTGATCCCCGCTCTCTTCACCATGGAGTACAACATATCTACCATCTTATTAACCTCCCCCTCCTGAGCCATACTGTCTCTTATAATATCTCAAGAAACAATAGTAGTAAGATGTCATGACATAAATTACAAACCATCCTGTCAGTTATGAAATCAACCAGGAATCAAAACGCTATACGTTTATTACATGGCATGTATTCCATAAAATATATGAGAATTAAATAAATTTACCAACGACGAATGTAGCTTGGTGTAGGTACAACTTCCTGCGTCTGATGTTATTGGATAAATCTAACTAGTTTCTTTATAAGATACATTGGTGTCACGAAAAGCTTTGAATTGGAACACCTTTTACTTTTATATCCTTTACGACAATGTTGGTATCAGGACGTCTTACTTAAACTTCTGTCTCTTGAATTGCAGTTGTTCGGAAATCTGCAAGATCAAATGCCAAAGTTCCGGCACAAGGTGACAGCCATATCTGGGGACTGCAGTATGCCCGGCTTGGGGCTGATACCCTCGGATCGCAACCTACTTACGGAAGAAGTAAGCTTCGTATTCCACGGTGCAGCCACCGTGCGTTTCGACGAGAAGTTGCGCATCGCCATGGGTACCAACGTTGCGGGCACAGAGAACGTGTTGGAGCTGGCACACGACATGAAGAAACTGAAGGTGCTGCCACCGCTCAGAGTGCAAGGACGATTCACAGGGTGTACCATTTAAAACGCAACTCTACAATAAGCACGTATTACTATAAAATATGCGAAAATCAGATCGATAACGATCGATACATTAATTGAATATTGACAATGGTTTCGTTGCTTTGTGTATAAAGACGTTCAAGAGCAGTAGTTGTACCTGTAGAAGTTGCTTTTTAAATGGAGCGTTCTGTAGTACTCTTTTTCTTCAAAATTCTGTCATAGAACTGAAAATAATGTGCTTGTTTACTCATCAAACATTGGGTGAATAGCTAGAACCCACTAACAACACTTGGTTAATTCAGGATAGAGCTGTGATAATTACATTACAATTATTTCTTAGTGAATATTCCGGTAAAAAGTTTTTCAAAATACTTATCTCGTCATAAACGTCTGAGAACGCCTATCCGAGATTCTTTGAAGATAAATAGAATTAATTAACTGTAAAATGTCGGATTTGTCATGTATTTTTTATCTGAAGTGTGTGTTGTGTTTAATACACAAAATATACGTCTACATATCATACAATCTATAATGCATTAATCAAGTATCTTCTCGTTCCAGGCCGTAATCCATATTTCGACAGCGTACTGTAACTGCCATCTACAGGAGATTCAGGAGAAATTCTACAGCTACCCACTTACTTACCAAAAATTATCTGCTTTTATGGATGGAGTAAACGATAAAATGGTGGACGCAATCACCCCACAGTAAGTTAATTTTCTGGCAGTCTTACCGGATCAATTTTTCACACTGCGTAACCATTAATGCACTTATCAAATTATAATATTTCAATGTCTGCAGTTTTGTCTTGCTTTATGGTAGGGAAAAGTAACAATTGAATGAGATGGATGGACGGACTGAAAGATGGACAAAAGTGTCACGGACATGAAAAGAGCTTGAAAGACATACGAGGCTCGTCCACAAAGTAAGTTTCCCTGGGGCCGTTTACAGAAACAAAACACAATTTCATGGAAAAATTTATTGCAACAGATACAGCAAGTGTCCAGCTATTTTTCAACATATTCGCCACCGGAATTGAGACATTTGTCATACCGTGGGACCAACTTTTGAATACCTGTGTCGTAGAAGTCTGCCGCCTGGGATTGGAACCACTGTGTGACAACCATCTCCGCCTCTCTGTCATTCTCAAAACGCTGACACTGACCGGACAGGAATTTCTTGAGGTGTAGGAAAAGATGGAAATCACTGGGAGCGAGGTCCGGGCTGGAGGGTGAATGATTAAACACCTCCCAGCTGAACTCCTGCAGGAGACTTGCTGTCCGTCGAACCGTGTGCGGCCTAGCGTTATCACTGACCGCACTTCACAGTCGGCGGGAGCTGGAATAAGAACCGCCATCTTCAACAGCTGCAACGATGCTACTGTGAGAACGCGGGAAGTGCATGCGCCATGCTACGTCATTGCTCTATCACGTACGCACAGTCGCTTCGCACAATATAAGGTTTGCTAGCTGTGGGACGAGTGGGAAACTTACTTTGTGGACGCGCCTCGTAAAATGGACATATTAATATATTCATCTGGTATAACACCTATATAACACAGTTAAGGTTATAAAACGAATAGATCTATTGGATAGGATTTCTCGTGAATGTAGAAGGAAGGCGACAATAAACATCAATTACGAAAACAAGCTTTGGAAATGGTATATATGGCTATCTGATTACGAGATGCTACCGCCAGTTGCAGTTGCACTGTTTTTTTTTCTGAATCAGATAGAATATTATTGAAGCTTGAGAAATAACGGTCGTTACAAGAAGAGTCTAGTGCGTTCAATAATCAAACATCAATCACTCTAAACTATTGAAAAGAATCCCTGCATAAATGGCTTAGACTACACGCAATACATAAGTGTCGGTGAAGATTTCTGTCTTCTGGGTTGTT